CTCTGCAGTGCCACCCTTTGGGACGTGCCCTCTCCAGTGCCCTCCTTTGGGATGTGCCCTCTCCAGTGCCCTCCTTTGGGATGTGCCCTCTGCAGTGCCTCCCTTTGGGATGTGCCCTCTCCAGTGCCCTCCTTTGGGATGTGCCCTCTGCAGTTCTGTCCCAGGTGGGTTGGGACTGGCTGCTTGAGCCCTGTGGTGGCTCCAGACCGCCCCAATTCCCCAGGGACAGCCCTGGCTCTGCTGCAGCTGGGGAGGTGCCTCCCAATCCTCAGGCAGTGTCTGTGGGTGCAATGGTTCACAGAATCCTGGGATGGTTGGGTGGGAAGGGACCTTAAATCCCACCCCTGGGATCCTCGGGCAGTGCCAGGGCTACAGGGGCACCCTGTGCCAGGGCTGCCCACCCTCACAGGGAACAATTCCTGCTCAATGTCCCATCCAGCCTGGGATCCTTGGGCAGTGCCAGGGGTCCAGGGGCACCCTGTGCCAGGGCTTCCCACCCACGGGCAAGGATTTCTGTTTCATCTCCCACACAAATCTCCCCTCCTGTAGCTCACTGCCTTTCTCTTCCCTCTCTACTCTTTGTGCCTTTTGTGTTTCTTCCTCTCCTTCCTGCACACACCAAGTTTGGGGCTTGGCTGAGGGGGCCTGAGCCAGGCACGAGGGATTCCAGCTGGAGTCTCTGTGGCAGTGTCCCAAATGGGCAGTGTCCCCTCTGTGTCACTGTCCCCTCAGAGGGTTCCAGCTGTTCCAGGTGTGACTGGTCCCATTTCTCTTGCAGTCCCCTGATGCAGCTGATGACCTCAGGCACGTGGATGAGTGCAGTAACTCAGGTAAGCCCAGCCCAGGCAGTCCTGGCTGTCCTGGCTGTCCCTGCTCTGGGTCTGGAGGGCTCTCCTGCCTTGTGGGACCCCCTGAGCCCCTCACCTTGTGCTGCCTGAAGCAATGCCATGTTCTGTCTGTTCTAGAATGACAGCTCCACGCTTGCCACGTTCATTTTGGGTAGGAGATTTGCACATTTGCATTGTTTTCAGTGATGACTAATCTGTGTGCTGTGTTGCAAGCATGCCTGGTTTTCATGCCAGCTTTGTCCTGGAGTGGAGTGGCAGCAGGATGTGGCAGGGAGGTTTTGGGCTCTGTCACCTCAGAGTTCAGTGTCCCTCATGCAGGGGCTCCCTGGTGCTCCTTTTTGATGGAACAGGGAATGGTGGAGGTGAATTCATCCAAGGTGCACCCATGGGCAGTGACCACCTCGGTCAGCAGGAGTTACAGGTGTGCACCTGGAGCTCTAGGCTGTCCAGCTGGGCTGTGGGTCTGTCCAGCTGGGCTGTGGGATGTCCAGCTGGGCTGTGGGATGTCCAGCTGGAGCTGTGGGTCTGTCCAGCTGGGCTGTGGGATGT